GAAGTGTTGGAACTTTGTGGAACTAAGTGTGCATAATACTCCTCTTTCACATTAGCTAATTGTATCTTTTTTTGGTCTATGTTTTCTGACTATGCAATAATAACTGGTGAATGTTCCCCAACGACATACATGGTCATACACAGGCTTATTGAACAAACTGTGTCTGAACAGGAGAATCTAAATAGGCCAACCTGTTGACTCAGATCTTCTCTTTAGGGATACAGCGTGGATAGTATTGAAACATACAGGCTGGCTAGTGTAGGAATGTCTTTGTAATTCAGGCTAATAGTGGCTGCATTCCTTTTTGCTTTTGGAGTAAATAAAATGTTTTGATTGCGAAGCCTCCATAAAGCAGGAAGCCTTGATACACTGGGAGAGCATAGCTTGCTGGATAGGGGAGACTTTAATGTAAGATAAGCTGTCAACTTCATGTTAAATCAGCAATGATTTTTCACTAACGCTTGCTGATGAACTGTAATGTTTAATTCTAGGCTTCTTGTACATAAACATCATGAATAGTTTTGAAGTAGCAACACAGAAATAAGGATGAGTAGAATCTTTTAATGGCACTGTCTTTAGTGTCCAGCTCCTCAAGAATTCTGTGTGTAACAGTTCTGATCAAAAGGAGTTTTCTCTTTCTATAGAAAATGTACTTGTCCTTTTTGTGATGGTCTTTACAGTAAGTAAGCCCATAAAGATAACACCGTAGTGGATTTCACCTCCCAGATGACCTGGGAGGGGAGGAGTGTTAATCCAGTGTTGAGGAAAGCTCTAGATGTTTTTCTTAAAGGGAATCAGATTGTAGGACCTAATACCAGGAAATGCTGATTTTTTTTTTTTCTAACTTCTGTTATCATTTTGGCTCTACATCCTTTTTTCCACCCACTGTGATACTGCTTGTTGTGCCCTAATTTTGTAAAGGTTTCAAAGCTATTGGAAATAAAGCATGTAGTATTTCTGCTCTTGTACAGTTTTCTTCAGGTGATAGTCCATCACTTTCCAAGTGATTCTCCAAGAAATTCTTTTTTTTTTCTTTTTGTTTGCCTGCAGTGTATTGGATGGGTCTTGTGAGCCTTTTACGGATTGTCTTTCAGTCTGTTTGATTTCAAAGTAGTTTTAAAACAGTCCAGCATAAAGTCTGTATTAGAAGTGTTGGAACTTTGTGGAACTAAGTGTGCATAATACTCCTCTTTCACGTTAGTTAATTGTATCTTTTTTTGGTCTATGTTTGTGGAACATACTTATTTTTAACAGCTGAAATTAATTTCCAGTCACATTTTTGTACAGTTACTCTGAAAACCCAGTTCTGTGTTTTTTAACTAGGCTGTTTATGGAACTAGAGTTCTGTAGTAACTGCAGGTTTTCATAGTCTATCTTCCCAACCTAACCTTTCTCCTCCTCTTGAATGGAGGATATAAACTCTTGTTTAATGTTTTCTACAAGCTAAAAATGTACATGCTGAGGGAACTGTATATATTACTACTTAGTGTATTCCGAGTTAAGTATTTTCTTTATTGCTGTGAGACTTTATAGCCTAACATTTTAAAATCCTGTTAATTCATTATAAAGAATATTTAAGACGCTTACTTTCACTTCAAGCATTGCTAGTCTGTACAGTACATATTGTTGATTTTTGAGTAAAGAATTTACTCATTTGAAATTTAATTTGGCCTAAAGTACATTTCTGAATCTCAGTTGAAAATGTTTGCGTAACACAAAGAGGATATACTTAATTGAAAACTGCATTGTTTGTATGTATTCTAGAATCATTTTCTCATAACCAGTATGACTGACTCCGTAAATGACCTTTCTTTTCCCCCGACAGTGTTCTCCCTCTTTCAATCTAGTTTTTCTGTTTGTTTTTGTCTGTGAACAGCTTCAGAAGCTTCTTCTGACCTGTTGTTGCAACACACTGGTTTACCAGCAGTCAAACGAAATTCCTTTTTGGTGGTTGTGGGTGAATTTATGCCAAGAACTCAAATGTGTTTCAATTAAGTTTAATAGAATTATTATTATTTCAAAGTGAATGCTTGAATATACTACTTAAGGTAATATGTGAATTTGGAAATGGCTTTACACTTGCAGATACTGTAATTAAGCACAGAAAGAGCATTTTCAGTAATAGAGAACTTGAACTCTTCTTTGTGGTTTCATGTAAATGGATTAAATGACATTTTGGTTAATCAGTTTCGAATTAGGGGCAGAGGAAGAGCCAGAGGAGTCTTTGCTGGAACAAATACTGGTCCCAGCAACTCAAATACTACTTTTCAGAAGAGACCGAAGGAAGAGGAATGGGACCCTGAATATACCCCAAAAAGCAAGAAATACTTCTTGGTGGGTGTGGAGAGCTTGATATCTTATGCATGCTTTTGTTTTTTCAAATTTTCTACAAGCGTAGAAGTAGCATGCATGTAGAGACAGGGACTTCAGTTACATACGTAACCATGAGAATATCAGGGTTGTTGTAGTGCCTGGTTCTGCTTCTCTTGTGTCTTTCTGCAGCAGGCTGCCAATAACTGAGGCCTGACACGGAATTAATCTCCAAAACTTTAATCAGTGAGTGGGGAAGAAGGCAGACTCAGACTAAAATTATTAAAAACAAATTTTAAACCGAAAAGGCTTGTGCTGTGTTTTCCTGGATTTGTGTTTGTCTGGCATTCGAGCTTTTGTATTAGATTTGTCTGGAAGTCTGCAAAAGTGGAAGATCAGGAAATGCTGACAGTATTTGTGGATGTATGTAGGCTGACTCTGTTATTAGCAGTCCTTCTGTTCTTAGTTGAGTAGGGTGATAGTCATAAGAAAGTCACCTTAGTTTTGATGCCTTTTTCCTATCTGGATTATGAAAGGAGGATTGTTGATGTTACCACCCAGTAAGTAGTGTAGTATACTGAGTATGTAGCCTCTGTTCCAGTTGATTTCCTTAACAATACAAACTTCTAAGGATATTGTTTCACCATTGAAAAATGTTAAGTAGTGAAGATCAGACCACCTCCTATAGCATTATAGTTTGCCACAAATATGTTAACAGGTAATCCAAGAAATAATGCAATCACAATTTGGATGTTTGTACAAGGAGTTCTCCTCTGTCTCCCCACACATATATAAACTTTGCTGACCTATAAACATGGAAAGAGATGTGGTAATCTAAATGCTAAGAAATTCTATGATAGCTAGAACAAATAACTAACTGTAGCTGTTAAACTTCTTTTTCATTTCTAAAAACTTTTTTAATTAAAAAAGCCACCCTTTAACTATTCTTATATAATTGTTAATAAACTGCTTTATATAGGTGTGGTATGTGTTTAATAGTTCAGATTTCTTTCCAAATCACAAGTAAAAACAGTAGATGTTGAAGCAAGTGTACCTCACTCTTCTAAATATAAACTTTTTTTATATTAAATAATTGTCTGTAGTGTTCATGCAGTGCACGGAATGATTGTCAGGCTATATGAAAGGCTATATTTGGTAGCAAGATAGCAAACTTTAAGCTTATTAACCAGAGAAACTCAACTGTTGTTTGTTAATGTCAGATTTAAACAGTTTAACCTTCGTTTGCCCTACGTTGTGCAGCTGAAGCAGGGTTTCTGAAAACTGCCTTCAATTACCTTTCCTTAATAAGTATAAAGAACTCTGTCTCTGCATTAAAGTAAAAATTAAAAAAAAAAAAAATCCTAGCACATTCCTAGAGCTTCTTCCTCTAAAATCACAGATTTCTTTTTTTTTTTTCTCAAAACTAGTGAGTAATTCTTTCTTCTGACTGAAGATAAGTGACAGATAACTTATTTGTTACTCCCAAACATTTGAGTAGACCCATGGCTAATAAGGGCTCTTAAAACAATTTTATTGTTGTGGTATTAGTTATAGCATCATGAATTGTAAGGATATACTTCATGATGTATCCTATAGATTATGATCTGAAATGTTAAAAAGTTCTCTTAATTGTTTTTTTTCTATGTATAGTATAAATTTGATATAGAGTACCAACATTTAAGGGGTACGTTTAAGAGGTGTTCTAACCTGATTCTTTGTCTGGTGTTATTGTAGCATGATGACAGAGACGATGGTGTGGATTACTGGGCCAAAAGAGGAAGAGGCCGTGGTACTTTCCAGCGTGGCAGAGGGCGTTTTAACTTCAAAAAGTCAGGTAGCAGTCCGAAGTGGACACATGACAAATACCAAGGGGATGGGATTGTGGAAGATGAAGAAGAAACGATTGAGAATAATGAAGAAAAGGACAGACGCAAAGAGGAAAAGGTAAACAGTTTAGTGAATTGCAGATTAGACAGTTTATCTTGTAGTATCTCAAGTACTTGTCTGGGTGTGGGGAGGGATCACTTCAAAAGGTTTTGGACTTTGGTTATTAACAGTTTACAACAAGACTGTTTTCTTTCTTTCCACAGGAATAACCCTGGAAGAAAATTGTAGCTGAAAGAGCAGCTCTTGCACCACCCACACAACATTTTTAATATGTTTTTTTGTTGTCAAATGAATGTAAGCATTTTACTTAAATTTTACTGTTGGAAAGTAGTTTAGAGGGATTGTTTTTGGTTTAAGCCTTTAGAAAAAAATCTTGATATAGTAAACTATGTTAATGATCGTACAGGTAGAAAGTAAAATATTTGTAACAACTTTTAAGAAATTTTACTGTTTGTTATATGCAGTGTAATTCTGCTTTGTCCAAATACATGGTCAAGTACAACTCTAAAAGTTTTGATTCTCCCCTATGTCTGTGTTTTATTCTGAAGTAAACTTACAGCTCTGCACACCTGAAATCTTGGAGCAGCATTTTTTATAAAACCAATAACTACTTCTGTGTTGCCTTTTAATAAGAAGTGTATTTAAGGGTAGTTATTCAGTCATAGTGTAAGTACAAACAGTTGTGCAAAATGCTGATTATACGTTAGTTCACAAGATGTATAGTAAATTTGATATAGAGTACCAACATTTAAGGGGTACGTTTAAGAGGTGTTCTAACCTGATTCTTTGTCTGGTGTTATTGTAGCATGATGACAGAGACGATGGTGTGGATTACTGGGCCAAAAGAGGAAGAGGCCGTGGTACTTTCCAGCGTGGCAGAGGGCGTTTTAACTTCAAAAAGTCAGGTAGCAGTCCGAAGTGGACACATGACAAATACCAAGGGGATGGGATTGTGGAAGATGAAGAAGAAACGATTGAGAATAATGAAGAAAAGGACAGACGCAAAGAGGAAAAGGTAAACAGTTTAGTGAATTGCAGATTAGACAGTTTATCTTGTAGTATCTCAAGTACTTGTCTGGGTGTGGGGAGGGATCACTTCAAAAGGTTTTGGACTTTGGTTATTAACAGTTTACAACAAGACTGTTTTCTTTCTTTCCACAGGAATAACCCTGGAAGAAAATTGTAGCTGAAAGAGCAGCTCTTGCACCACCCACACAACATTTTTAATATGTTTTTTTGTTGTCAAATGAATGTAAGCATTTTACTTAAATTTTACTGTTGGAAAGTAGTTTAGAGGGATTGTTTTTGGTTTAAGCCTTTAGAAAAAAATCTTGATATAGTAAACTATGTTAATGATCGTACAGGTAGAAAGTAAAATATTTGTAACAACTTTTAAGAAATTTTACTGTTTGTTATATGCAGTGTAATTCTGCTTTGTCCAAATACATGGTCAAGTACAACTCTAAAAGTTTTGATTCTCCCCTATGTCTGTGTTTTATTCTGAAGTAAACTTACAGCTCTGCACACCTGAAATCTTGGAGCAGCATTTTTTATAAAACCAATAACTACTTCTGTGTTGCCTTTTAATAAGAAGTGTATTTAAGGGTAGTTATTCAGTCATAGTGTAAGTACAAACAGTTGTGCAAAATGCTGATTATACGTTAGTTCACAAGAATCATATTTCCATAGTGTGTCAGTGATAAACCTGGATTCTTATTCCACCATGCTAGAGGGTGCAGCAAGAATTTTATCTTTGAGAGTGAAATTGTCACTCTTCTTTAGTAGCCTGAGAAATACATATGTATGTAAATACTCAAGTGAGTTTCAAGTGTATTATTTCCCTTCTGGAATGTGACTTTTAGAAACCTATTTCCAAGTCACTGCTGCTAGAAACTTTTAAACAGATGTGAAAACTGGAGTTCCCTCCCCCATCTCTGTAGTTAGTGCAGAACTACCTGCAACTAGCTTAATTCCTGTAGCTTGTGTCTATAACAGATCAGCTATGTATTGTGGATACCTAGTGATTTGCTTTGTCATAAAAAGGTGCTTCTCTTGTCAAGTACAATTCTCAAGTACTCTTCTTTTAGTACAATTCTTAAGGTTTTATAAACTAGGGTTTAAACTCCCTGCAAGAAAAATGTGCTGTCCATCAAGTATGAAGTACAAGTGGCATTTTCAGGGCCACTAGCGAGTACAGTTTCAGCTTTCTGTTGATAGCTTAATCATCAACAGAATGCTTTAGTTAAGAAATCGGTGGCAGTATCAATCTAGCTTCTTTTTTACCAATTTTTGTTCCAGTTTGTTAAAACTGCCTCTGTAATTTCTTTATGTGGACTTGCCTCTCCAGGTATGTAATCTGGCAAGAGTAAGTCTTTAAATCTTCTATAACATTTACAGCCTTAAGTGAAATCGGGGGAGGGGAGAAACAAAACAAAAAACCACCACAAAAATACCTGAAAAAGTAAAGCAAGATATGTTAAAACCTGAATCAGTAAAGATACTTCGGCTGTACTAAACATTTCTCTAAAGTGTGAATTCCATTACAGTGCCCTGGTAGTACATTTCTTTAGTATTCCACTTTATACAATGTGTAAATTTGAAGCTGTAACTCGGTGGTAAAAGTTAGGTTAGCAAAAGGTGTGAGAAATGAGGCTTGCTTTCTTAAACACTGATTTCTAAATAGTTGTGCTTCTAGTATTTGTGTAGCCAAAGTGCAGAAGTCAGTCTACAATTGTTTTGTTTTGTTTTTTAAACAAAAACAAACCCACAAACTTGGTTAAAAGTGTACCTACCACTAAACTTACAGAATGTTAAGGATGACAGTAATGTATTTGAATTACCAGAGCAAGGACTTTCTGATACAAGATGACTACTTAGGTTTTCTTTCTCAGACTGCTTTAGATACAGTAAATCTTAATGTTATATGGAGTTAAAAGTGTAATTGTTCTTAATTTGCCCCTTAGAGTGGCATAATGTCTTTAAAAAAAATAGAAGGGGGGGAAGCTTTGGTAGAGGTGTTTGTATTAAATACATATATAATGTACGTCATCTTACTGGCTTTACTGTTAGGGAGTAGTTAGCCATCTGCCCTATCCAAATTAAACACTAGAAGGCAGGAAAAAGTAGTACTGTCACTAATCCTAACTGTAGTTGAGGAAATTGTATTTTGGATTGCACTAGTTTGCCCGCATCTGTGTAGAAAGGGAAATAGGAATAATACTTGCCCTCCAGTAGTAGTTCCTAAAGGGTCATTCCTGCCCTATGTTTTAGGAAGTTCAGGCAAACTATACCGTTGTTGCAAGATCTGCTTTTACATCTTTTAATAGCTGTTTGAAATGTAAAACTGATTATTCCTTGGACTTTTTAGCAAAGCTGACACAGACTTTGTGTATATTAAATCAGAATAAGCAAGAAAAGGAACAAAACAAACTTGGCAGCAGTGTCAAAGTCTGTCCTAATGAAGTGAAATATTCAACATCAGTCTGAAACTAACAAATAGGACCAAGATATACTTGGAACTATCATAACCTTAGAACAGCTAACCTGTATCATCTAGGTCAAGTTGAAATTGGATTGTTGTGGTCTGTGTGTTGTAAGGCAAGGTAGTTCCTGCATGATCAGGCAGATTAAGTTTTCTGCTTCAGTTGAATGTCCAAGGAAATCTGGTAGAGATTGCTTTGATAATGGCATTTGATCCTACAGACCTGTCTGTAGGTTAGATCATAAAAATCCTTTTTTCATTATCCTTAATTTCAATGCAGTTTATTAAAAGTTTTGTTAATTACAGAACACATGGTGACAGCCATAACTTCATTTCTTTAAAAAAATGCTTGAATTAAGGTAATGTAGTCGAAGGTGCAAGTTGCAGTCTATTGGAGATCTATAAGAAAAACTTAAGTGGGAGTTGAGATTAGTTTTTCTTTTTTAAAATCCAAACTAATGCTTCAGCACTCACTAGTCCTTCAGCGTGAACAGTGAATTTTCACTGTCGTGATAGGAAAAAGCAGGTTGAGGTTTTCAGTTGGTGCTACTGAAGTAGTTGTATGACTGTTGTGAATGGAAGTTCAGTGCATTTTGTATTTCTCTTATTAGAAGGTGGAGATGATCATTGATGGATCTGCAGGAAAAAAAATCCAACCATTCTGCTGGTATAAAATGTTTAACTACGTTTTGAGTTCAGTAATTCATTCTGACTCATTGCCTTCCAGCAATGAAGCGGTTTCTGAATCCGCTTCATCTGCGTGGTGTGCTTATGAAGTTCTCCCTGCAGTTCAGAGAGAATCAGACATTCATTTCACTAGGCAAAACCAAAACAACAAAGCCCCAGTAGCCATGCTCTTTCTTGGTCTGGAATTAAATCTCACATCATCTTACTTCCCAGAACCAGTCGTTAGCAGTACTGTCACAGCGACTTCAACCACGTCCTGTTGCGCTAGTGTTTCTTCTGTTGATGTGGACTGTGTTCTGCTATTGCACATGCTGAAGTGTCATTTTTCTCATGAGTAGAGTAAGTTGCATTGTTCCGGCATATGAAATCGCCTCCGTGCAGTATCCTCCCCCTTCCCACACAGCACGCCCCGACGTCACTTGCTGGAAGCCACCGAACAGTCAGCCTTTGCCACGGAAGAGGTGTGCTGGCTCGGATCACCGGCAGGCAGCGACCCCGGCCCGCCAGCCCATACCCCGCGGAAGCGGTGCTGCCCCTGTAGCCGCCCGCGGGCGTCCTCCCTCACCCGGGCGCGACGC